AAATCTTCCTGAAATAATGTAAATAAAAAGTTTAGAATTATTGTAATTAAAAAAAAAAAGGGTTCGAAGCATTATAAACAATAACCATGTCTGTTTTCAATTTATCGGCAATAGAAGTCTTGAAATTAGCCAGCTTTGCAATCAAACTCTGATGTTGTATTTCCAGCTGTTTTTTTTCATCCTGTACTTGCTCAAGTTTAGCCTTTAAATTCAATAGCTCCTGCTCTTGAACAATTAACCCTTTTTTCTCATCCTCAAACTGCTCAATTTGCGATCTTAATTCAGCTACAACTTTTTCTTGGTCATTGTTATCCTGCAAACTAGCAGAGTCCTCTTGAATGTCTATTGAGGTGTCTACACTAGTTCTAGAACTATTACTTTTATTTCTTTCAAATTCTAACTGTTCTAACAAAGTTATACGTTCTTTTGCCAAGTCATTCTTTTCATTTTGTACTTTTTCTAGCTCAGACCGAAGATATGTCAAAGCTTGTATTAATGAATGTTGGTTAACCAAAACGGGTTGTTCGACTAAAGGTTGCTCAGCTTTCGAAGAGGTAGCAACTGAATTTTCTAGTGGTGTTTGTTGAAGTTCTGCCATCGCAATTGACAAAAATAATAATAATAATAAACGTTATTTCCATACTCATCTGTGTCGGAAATATCAAGCTATTGTGTAACCTTTGTGCAGTGTGTCACATTAGGTATTTATTCCTCTATTCGGATAACATGTTCTAGACAGCCTTTCAATATTTATAATGAGTGAAGTAAGAAGATTTAAAGCAACAGATCTATTTAGATTTAATAATGTGTAAGTGAGCAAGTACTTTTGAAGCCGATCCGGCTTTTTCTTTAAAGAGCAAATAAATAAATAGATATAAATAAATAAATAAATATGTGTATACATTTTTTTGCATACAGAAATCTTGATAACTTGACCGAAACGGTAACCTTACATTATTTTATTTTATTTTATTAATCAAAATTTACTTTGAACTTACATTTGTATGATTTGACCAATTATGATAGTATAATATTTCTTTCTATCTGTCTTATCTAGCGAGGTGGCCAGACCTTTTTTGTGTGCAAGAATCGCCCAGCGGAGCCATGATGGGATATAGTTGAGTATATATATTTTTTCATTGATATTTCATTAAAACAGTTCTTTCAAAGCCCATTGATGTATTTTATATTTCAAAGTCATGGGCAAAGCTGAAGGACGAGGTAAAGAATGGCATGGCCATGTAACAGCTATCACTGTTGCTTCCGAGTATCGGCGTATAGGATTAGCAGATGGAATGATGAAATTGCTGGAGAATGTATCAGATAAAATGTTCGTACCTTGTTTATTTCTTTTAATTTCATACTTTACATTGTATTAATAATATTTTATATTCATAATAAAAGTTATGGTGGATATTTTGTTGATCTATTTGTCCGTGTATCGAACACTGTGGCAATTGGGATGTATAAGAAATTTGGATATTCTGTATATAGACGTGTTATTGGTTATTATTCTTCCGGTGATAATAATGAAGAAGATGCTTTTGGTAGGTTAATTTTATAATTTGTACAATGTATATAGCGAAATTTTATTTTATTTTTAAATTCAACATACAAATTTTCTTTTAAGATATGAGAAAACCTTTACCGAAAGATGTTAATAAAGGAAGTATTATCGAAAACGGAGAAGAAAGGCGTGTAAAACCTGAAGATTTATAGCATTACGAGGTTAGCTTTTTAAATTTATTATTGCTTATCTCTTTCTTATACTAATTAAGTGACTTTATATATGTAAAAATGTTTACAAGACATTAAAAATGTAATTTACATATTAATCATGTTAAATACTGTATTACAAAGATTAAGTCATACATCGACCTTTACAATATAATTAAATTTCATGATTAATAAATCATGTAATTTGTTAATCTTTTAATTACATGCATATGCGATGCAATATTGGTGTGGCAAATTTCCACGTGTATAAAGTAACAATTATTTTTGCGACTCATTTGAATTGTTTTTTGACGATACTATTGTCTCCGACTACATAAATATTGAATCTATGTTATAGAGGGCCCGCAGCCCGGCCTGACAAAAAAATTTAATAATATTAATATACTAAGTGAATGAAACTTCTAATCAAAGATTAGATACTAAAATCGACTCAGTAGGTATCAAGACAGCCGGCGCCGCTCACTTCACTGACAGTCATTTCACCGAAAGTTCATTTAGCCGACATCACATGGGGTTAGGGTTAGGGTTTTATTAGCAGGGTTGTAAACGGTAAGTTACAATCGGTAAATTACAGGTAAATTATCAAAGTTACTATAACATCGAGTAAGTTACCGAATTACTGCGGAGTTAAGAAAATTTTGGGCGGTTTTTAAGATATAGTTTTTTGGCTGGCATTAATACTAAGAGGGAATGAACATATCAGATATAAACGAGCATGGTTGTGAGAGTAAACCGCCGGTTTAGCCAATTAAAATTCTTTATCCTTTACAGTAACTTACCTGGTAATTTACCAACATTTAGAGTAACTTACCAAGAAATTTATAAATTACGGTAATTTTACAACCCTGTTTATTAGTTTGTAATGTCGGCTAAATGAGCTGTCGATGAAAACAGCCCATTTTTGCAATTTTTCGAAAAATGAGTTTTTATTGGATTCATATAAATTTTGACATGATTGACATTTTTTAATTATAAATAAAAGTCGATTTACATAATAAAAAATCAAGATAATGTAAAAGAAAAATTACACATCACGAGATTACCTGATAGTCACCTGTTACCTTTAACCAATCAAATCGTGAAATTTGATTAATCCTGAATACGTAAGTCCAAAATCAAAACAAGTGATTAAACTCAAATATCTCTAAATGAGATATATATAAAAAAAAAAGGGCTGTTTTAATAGATAACACTCCAAATGATTGTCTGTAACTTGTAAAAAAATTGATTATCGATATTATATGATATCACACGATTGTTCAGAAAATTTTCGAGAGTTTTCGCCTAGTGTTGTATAGTGTACGTGAATTTAAAATGTTTAAAATGACTTTATTAGTGCAAAGCTAATATTCGAAAAGCATTTTAAAGTTATAAATTAATAAATAAATATTATTCTTTAATTTAATGAGTTTAATTTAATCACGTAATCAATTTTTTCATTATAGTTTAATATTTTAAATACAAGATATATTTTACACTAGTTTTATCATTTTAGGATTAATGTTTTAGGTTTACATTGAGATCAACGTTATGGATAAATCAAGAGTCAAGACTTTAACATCCTTATTATAATTAAGCATTTTATGAGAAATTAGCTTCGGGCTCTTTTAAGAACGCTACCAGGAAAGTTACGTAATTTGATTTTTTTTTTCTACGTATCAATCAAAAACAGTCACTGGTTAAAAATATCAATATTTACTGAGAAATACATAGTATAGATATTCACTTAATTACAGTAAATATATTTAAATATTTAATATTTAAATATAATTAAAAATTTTATTGAAATTTGTTAGGTCGCCGTTGAAATACCTTCATTCTAATTCTTTAAAAAATTTTATTAAAAATATAATCAAATAGTAAGTGCGAGAGTATCAAAATGTAAATTTTGCCGCACTGGCTAACACTCAAATTGTGGACGTTCAAAGTTGGCATCAACGTAATATAAATTCATTAGATAAGTTTATGACGGCCGCAAAGAATTAAATCAATATTACGATTATATTATATGTTAAAATGACTTTATGATTTATAATATCTGATATTTAATGTGTCAAAATTTTCAAAAATTTAATCACAAATTTCTTTTGACATAAAAAAAAGTTACAACCTAATATATTTGATTAAATGGATAATGTGCTGCTGTCCTAATTACAAATTTCTTTGCAAGCAATATCACAATGAATTGGTTTCGCGGTAGCACACGCAGGGCAGGACATGTAACAACCTAAAAAAAATAATAAACAACAGAACAGTTATCAGTCCTGCCATATATTGTCAAAATTTAGATTTTAGAATATTAATCACCTCTCTTATTGATAGTAGAAGTAGCATTTGTTCGAAAGATTACTACCAGAACTATGACCAAAAACATGAGAAAATTACGCATTTGAAATATCTAAAGTATTAAGTTTAAAAGTTTATACTTTTCAGTTTAAATATGATATCGATTACTTTCTGAATAAAAACATTGTATTCTAATAATTTAATAATTTACCATTGTATGTGTTATACACTTTTAAAGTTTAAGGTTTATGCCTAGATTTTGTTTTTCTTTGAAATTAGAAAGTACTTTTATTTTCTTTGAAAGAAGTCAGAATATTAACCTTTTATACTTTCAGATTTGATTTCTTTATACACATAATTGATGCAAAATACAAATTTCGATTACAACAATGTAAAATTTATTCAGTAATTGTTCTATTATTAATGTTCTGTTGATCTGTTGGGTATTAGCGGAAACTCCGTTTCGCTTGTACAGTACACATACGGATCAAGGTATTTTTAATTAAACCCTTGCGATTGAGGACTATATAAATTAATATCTACCAAAACATCATTAATTATTAATAATTCTACAGTTCAATCACAGATTAGTCCTCACCGCTATAATATTGTGGATCGGTGTCACTTCACTGACACCACTTGTAGACACAACACTCATTTCACAGATAGCTCATTTTACCGAGTTGATTTCTTATAAATTCCTTTAACCCTAACCCTAATTCTAATAATAATAATGTCAGTAAAATGAGTGACTGTGAAATAAGTTGTCTGCGAAATGAGCTTGTCTAGAAATTTTTTATCTATTGATAAACATGTCAGTGAAGTTTTGTGTCTATAAAATGAGTGTCATGAAGTAAACAGAACCGAATATGTCGTTTATTTAACTGTTCAATCGCTTCAAATATACAAATTAATTGCTCTAAACTCTGTAATTCTATAAATAAATGTATTGGTTATTTAAATCAATTGGGGAATTTCTAAATCCGTGTTATGTGTGGCAATATTACTTTAATCAGCACGGATCAAACGGATTACCCGACAAAGCAAAAGAATGAACGAAAAATACAAGAAATTGATATCTAAATATATTTTGAAGTAATAAAAAAAAAAAATGCTGCAGGGCCAATTTAAATATAATAATTGCCTTAAACTATTAACCAAATAAATTTAAACCTCAAATTTTAATTAAATTGGTGACTGCACACGGCTTTGGTGTGATTTACAGTATTAAACGTCGTTTTTAAGTTATGCAATAGCAATAAATAAATAATTCTTTTTAATTTTTTATTTATTAATTTACTTTTTTTCATTAAAATATTTTAAGTTTTTGGTTATTTTCAAAGAACATGTGATATTAAATAAATATTTATGTTTTTGTAAGTGAGCGGTGAATTATCACTGAGTTCAAAATTCTGTACCCCTATACAATCATTCTATCGCAGTGTTGACTCCCGTTAAATGAGAATATGAACTATTTGTGTAGAGGACAGAATTTTGAAAGCAACTTAAAGTCATATGTATTCTGATGTAATTCGGGTAAGAACTATTATATAAAAAACTTCTATCTATAATTATTAAACTCTTTCCCGTAGATCATTTTACAAAAAATAAACAGGAAGGAAATAGACGTAAAACTAAATAAACTGATAGTTAATTATATAAAAAAGTTTGTCTAACAGGGCTATAAACAGCTACAAAGCCACCTACTTCATATACAATACCTCAAGATAAAAAGAAAGCAAGGAGATATCAACTCTAAAGAGAACTGTTCTTCAGAGGATATCTATAGTCCCCATCTATTAACTCTGTCTCTTACAGAGCAAACCTTTAACAAAATTCTTCTCATAGACAACTATAACCTTGTCAGCACTAGCAAAGATATTACTAGAACATCTGACAATAACAGAAACCAAAAACTAAATCTTCTAAATACTAAAAAATGAAGATTTAATCTGCTCATTACTTCGAAAATTACAAAAAATAGGCAAAACAGTTTATCTCTAACAAAAAACATAACAATATAACATGTGATTTATAGTACAACAATAAACAACTACAGCATAGGAAAAAAGAAAATATCTAATATCATTAATAATAATAATAATACACACAAATTACTATAAATAGTAATGATATTATATAGATCACTATAAATAGCAATAAAGATCTATAGCTACTTATAAAAGTAGATAATAACACAAGTTATGCAAATAATAATCTGATTCTAGCATCTGATATAGATATTCAATCTACTTCTACTATAGAAAAAATATCATGAGCAGGAACTTTACCTCTACATATTTCTTATAGTTAGGTGTTACAAGCAGATAGTAAGTGAAATAAACTAATACATACTGATAACACTGATATATTAATAAAAATTATCAATCAAAATCTAGTAAACAAGAAGCTAGACCAATTCAATCATCAAAAATAGATACCAGATAAAATTCTACAAAATTTTATAACATCTAATAGTCTAAAAAGCCTCATCTAGTATAAACTATCAATAATACTAATTTAATATATGATTTTTCAAGCAATCATACTTAAATTTAAGCACAAAGATATAGCTTTTTTTACTATGTTCACAAGAGCTAAATGCTCAAAACTATTACACCAAACTCAGTATAAATAGCTCTTTACTCAGGTTTTAAACAAATATAAAAACTAATATGATATTACTATTACTAACA